CAGTGGCACAGCGGTATGTCTGCGGACTTATAACGCTAGGAACGGGGTTTCGATACCCGCCACGGGCAGAGCAGAGATAGCCCATTGTGTAGCTTTGTGCTTAGTTACAAACAACTGTTCGTGTAACTTTAAACAAAATCGTTTTCCTTGTTGTTGTTACTCTTTAAACATCGTACTTCAAACAAAATCATTTTTCTTGTTGTTGTTACTCTTTAAACACCGTACTTCAAACAAAATCGTTTTTCTTGTTGTTGTTACTCTTTAAACACCGTACTTCAAACAAAATCGTTTTTCTTGTTGTTGTTACTCTTTAAACATCGTACTTCAAACAAAATCATTTTTTTTGCTTTGTTATTCTTTAAACACCGTACTTCAAACAAAATCGTTTTTCTTGTTGTTGTTACTCTTTAAACACCGTACTTCAAACAAAATCGTTTTTCTTGTTGTTTTTACTCTTTAAACACCGTACTTCAAACAAAATCGTTTTTCTTGTTGTTGTTACTCTTTAAACACCGTACTTCAAACAAAATCTTTTTTTTTTGCTTTGTTATTCTTTAAACATTGTATGATTTAATTTTTTTATACTTTGAAAAAGTTGCTTGAATGATTTTATTGCTTGGGAAATCTTAAGTTTCGTCCCCCGGTGGGTTAGTGGTAACTTTACAGACTTACAGCTGTAGAATTCGCGGTTCGTTCCCCACGATGGACTAAACGCAGAAAACTCATTGTGTAGCTTTGTAATAAAACAAACTTCATTATCTCCAACTAATGTATGTATATTTCTTATCAAATGAATGAACCAGCTGAGATATACGTACCTTTTTCCTTTTTCTATAGCGCTACCTGGTAACAGAAGAGTGATATAAATGCAAAACGAAATTCGAGAAACTTGTTCATTTTCTCTTTTTTTATTTTTTTCGCTTAATAGAGAAGAGTAACTAGAATAAAAACTGAAAGTCAAAATAACATGAACTATTTATTGACAAATATCAACCAATGTTTATTTGTTTTTCTAGAGCAACGCCACAATGAGTTATCTGCTGTGTACACCTCGGGGAATCGAACCCCGGATTTTAGCGTTGTAAGTCCGTAAACTTTCCGCTGTCCCGCTAGGAGACGTATTTTATCTTAAAAATTCTCGAAAGTAATGCTGCTTATAGAAATTTAAACGATTCACTCAATCGATCACTGTTAAAAGCTAAACAATATGTTCAGTTTTAGTTTTTATTTGTTAAATATAATTACAACGGTGAATATTGCAAGAGATGCTTCAGACAAATGATTGATTGGAGCTGTCCGATCTTTCCGAGTTTTTCAGTGGTTCACATGTAGCTGGAAATCAACCGAGAGAGCAAACTTAAAACCTCAACTCAGTAGTTGCATACGTATTGGCCCGGCAATCTGAGGGTCGCAGGTTCGAATCTCCGTCCCGCCAAACATGCACGCCCTTTCAGCCGTGGGGACGTTATAATGTGACGGTCAATCCCACTATTCGTTGGTAAGAGAATAGCCCAAGAGTTGACGGTGGGTGGTG